TATAATTATTAATTTACAATTACAATCATTAAATTAAGGTCAATACAATAATTGCGTAATGCACACCGTGCGCAATTATGCGACCTAAATTAATTACTTTAAATCACTATTATTTTTTAAATTAACATTAAGATTTGTATATAAACCCAAAATTTTGAATTAATAAAACAGTAGAGTTCAAATTCAGATTTGAGGCAATACGGACGTGTTTTATTAAAAAGTTCTAAGTTTTTAAGAAGTTAATTATTTAAATTACTCAAGTAATGAGTGACACGGAGGGGTCATACTCTTCCGCGGGTAGAGGCCGGAAACGTGGACTACTACATCAACACAAATTAAAAGACCTGATCTAAAACTACACCAACAATCAACATTTTTTAATAAAAGCAATAATTATTGAGATAATTAATTTTGATAGCATACTATTCAGAGGGAAATTAAAATTTCAAGTTAGCAAAAAATTGTATTAACAAACACTGTTCCTGAAGTAATTCTAAACAAATTTTGTTAATAAAAATTTTTGATTTGATCAAAAATAACCTCAAAATAATTTTTATATTTTTTTTTATTGAGAAAATCGTTTTAGAATTTAATTAAGAACGAGTGGAGGGGGGAAATCGTATCATTTTGTTACAAAAGTTCCGTGCCCTAATTATAACGCATATTTTCGGGTGAAATACCCTTGTTACTTCGGTTTTCGACAAACAACGACTAAAACGTCCTTATTTACCATCTACCTGCTCGTGTGGATCTGTTTCTTTTACAACCCTCCCCTACCCCGAACCCAACCCGACATTTAAGAATCTCGATCTCAAATTCAAATTCCTATATAATTTAACTTAACTCAAAATCTAATTTCTACACAAAATTCGAAAATAAATCAGTATATTAGGTGGATCCGAATGTAACGCTTTTTTTTCAACAAGACCATACCAATATTTGACCCACACCCTTCTCCATGTCTAATCCGACAGTTCGGAAATTCTCACTAATTAAACGTAAATTGACCTAATTCAACATCTAATTTCTACACAAAATTCTAAAATAAATTATATTAGGTGGATCCGAATGTTTCAACAAGACCATACCAGTATTTGACCCACCCCCAAATTAGATATGCCCCCTTTTTCATTTTTCCGAGAATTCTTTAACCGTTAAAGGATTCTAAAGTGTAACGTATTTCAACCGAAAATATGCGCTGTAAAAAACCTGTTAATTCTGTTATAAATTTGGTGAAATTGATTTGATTTTTAATTTTATCAGATTAATGTATATGATTGGTTGTAAAAACAAGTAAACGATTGGTTATACCGTTGTTGATGCCGAGAGATGGCTGATGACGTCACAAAACGTGACGTCATAGCGAAACTTTAAAGTCATTTTTCGGTAAGTTTGACACTTTTTTCTTATTTTTAACTATTAAAAAAAAAATCATCGATTTTGAAGGAACAATTATTAATTTCTTATAGTCACTATCTCAAACTTAAATAACTATATTCACGTAAACACTAAATTAACAATAATTAACACTAAATTTTACTTTAACCAATATACTGCGGTACTACGGAAATTATCTATGCAAACGATGTTCACTCAAGGGAACTTGAGAAATGAATGTTTCCAAAACCTCACGACTTTTAGAAAAACAAAAGTGGTAAAATAAACCCTAATAAAATACTACATAATAGATAAGAAAAGTAAACACTTTTTAGTTGGTGAAAAAAGGGGCTGTTTTAAGTACCTCTAGTACTAAAATTCCAAAGTTATTTCTGACGTAAAGAAATAAAATAAATTTAAGTATTTCTACATACTAAATGAAGCATGAAATGTCGATGGCCTTCACATACAGAAAACCAGTCATACCTTTTAATAACTTTATATTTAATTTTTCTTTCCAAAAATTTAAATAAACATAGTGCTTTTCATTGATTCTTTTATATGTTTAGAAAACGTGTTTATTACAGATCTTTGCAAATCGGGTGGATTTTTAAATGCCGTGGGATTATTAATGTTATAATTTGTATAAAAAATTAAAATATTATTATATTTTTCGACAATAATTCACGGCACATTTCCAAAAAAGTTTATCAACACACTTTTACTATGTATCCGCGAAATATATCATGACACAATCTTTTGAAGATGTTTGTTGCACAATATCCTTCATCATCACTGTCAATACTTCTCATCGATTTATATTTTTCCTGCACGTTTAAGACAGTTTCAGAAGTAATCTCATAACTTCCTGTCTTTGGTGGTTTTAAAAGGCTCCACACAACGTTTTAAAGGCAGCTTAAAAATTGCAGATACAATATGTCTCAAGAATATCTTGATTAAATTTTGAGGTAAGAAGGTAATAATTTCGTTCTTTGTTTTTGACACAACCTTATCACAGAATTGTTGGTAAGTAGTATGCCATCAAAACGTGATGGTCTTTTGAAGGTGCCCCTCTTTGAAACTTTTTTGATGTTTTTCATCACTTCAGTCGCTCTTCTTAGGGCATCAAATCCGAATAAGTTCTGCTTTAACAGAGGAGCACACTTTTCTTCTAACTTTCAATTTGGTTGCTCTTTAAAGTATTAAACATATTATTAATTATGTTTAAAAAATCCGCGGTGTGTTTTGCACTTTCAGGTGCTTTCACCCGTTTCAGTGGCAGTAAGTATTGCAGTACTCACAGTATGACTTAAAACTTGGACAGCCAATTTCGTATTAATTTTCGAATGTGTTTGGCATTACATGTGTTTCCATGAGTTTCGGCAACCCTACCCCTGCTCTACTACTCTTATCCAATTCGTATGCTCCGCGGATATCCGAATAAAGGCGTTTTGAATTATGGGTGGTAAAGCGACCTTATCTTGAAATAACCCTTAAATTTATGCGTGCGAACGGTTCTCCATGTTGGCCGAACTGTTGCTCTTATCAGATATCTAAATAAAAAAAATAATCTACATCTTAAAATACTTAATTTTAATTTATGTGGTCCTTTAAGTGTTTTTCACGAAACTCGCGCACTTTTCCACGATCATATAACACTGTGATTGTAGTTTGGTTTTTTTTTTGCTTTATTTGCTTTATTTCTGCAGAGTATTGTTGTTGTTCCTTCCTCCTCTCATTTATTTCGTTCATTAACGATCCCATCGCTTCATTCATTACATTCATTTGGTCGATCATTTCTTCATTTATTTGTTGCATATTCTTCTCTTTATTTTTCTTTCCCTGTACTTTCTATATGTCGAACTCGTAAAGATCCCCTTATTTTGGATTTATTTACAGAGCTCAAAAACACGATGTTCACCGCTATACAGATTCTCACCACCTCCCTTATTAAAATAATAAAATAACTAAAGCTTTAATAAAAATAAAATGAGTTAACTATTGATTCTTGACCTATGTGTTTTTATATTTAATAGGCTTTTTGACAAGTACCTCCATACCCATCTTCTTCTTCTTCCTAAGCCTGTATTCATACACCACTGGAGATAGGCCTCTTTCAAATGTCGCCATTTATTTCTATCTTTTTCTGTTCTTAACCATTTTTTCCTCACCACATCATCAATCCAGCTCTTTTGCGGTTTTCCTGCACCTTGTTTTAGTTCCTCGTGGTCTCTTTTTTCTCTTTTGTCTTGCCACGACTTATTGCCACTTAAGTCTAGCTAAGCAACTCATAACACCTATTCTTCTGCGAATGTTGCAATTTCGAATCTTGTCATTCAGAGGGATTACCAGCATTGCTCGTTACATCACCCTTTGAGGTCATAGTTTCAAGTCCACCTTTCGTTTTAGGGGTCTCGATATTCTTTGTTTTTCAGTATAAAACTGAGTTTTTCAAATGCTGCCCATGATAATTAATCCTCGAACCGGCGTTCTAGGAGGAGGTTCTTGAATCAGCATATTTTTTGGGGCTAGGAGGAGGTTTTTGAATCGGCATATTTTTTGGGGGATTCGTACGAGGAGAAGGAGGTTAATTAACTGAAGGAAGTGATGTTATTTTGAGGAGATGATATTTGTGTTTTGAGTCCCTTTTATCATCGTGTGCGTTAAAGAATGTACAAATGACAGTCGTACTTTAACGATGAAAAAGTTTATTTCAGTTTTTCAGTTTCTACCGGTTTCGGCGTGTTAATTTCATCCTCATGAAACCACGTTATACGATTTTATGTTCAATTTGTAAACCACGACGCTCTTTTATTTCTAGGACTGATTTTTGAAACATCACCTACGCATTATTTAGCATATCTCTTCCGCTTTTCGATTGTACATGTTCTTACATATTCTTACAATCGATTGTGTGCTTTGTTGTTGTTGCTGGCCATTTTGGCCAAATTAAATAATTCGAGAATTATTTAATGGTTTCTGGGAATAAACCGTACGAATTAGAAATTCCTGGCGTGCAACCTTTTTTCTTTAGAAGCCAAAAATCACGTCTTGCGTTTACGACGTCCGGGGTAATTTTGGGAAAAATTATGTATCCACAGTTTTATAGGGAAATGCAGATCGTACCAAGAAGTTATTAAAAAATTAGACGTTGGATCACGTAAAGTTTGACGGTTCCCACAGTCTAGGAACTACGGGGTAATTTTTGGGATTAGCTAGTGGCGAATGTTATTTAATAGCCCCGTGGTCAAAAATTGTTCCCTTCCCCAAATTCCCTCGTTCGCTCAGAAAATTATCGTAAAACATTCGCCCCGTATTTTAGATTGGCCCCAGGTTGTCGGTTTATTAAAATTGCTCTTTTTATGAAGGTGAAGGTAAAAGTGAAACCAATATTTGGTTGTAAGTAAGTCTTAATGCAGAGTTATACATATTCACTTTAAATTATGAAAAAGTTAACCTTTAAGAACGACCGTATAAATTTCAGATAAATTTCATAAAAACTGAACCGTATTTGGTAAAAATACGTATATTTTATTAAAATTGGTTTCTCTTGAAAGTAAAAATGGTTGTAAGATATCGAGGAGGGCGACAAAAAAATAACTGTACATATATATCGAAGGTATGAAGTTGAAAAGTGTTAGTGCTTCATACAAGTGCTTTCCAAGTAAAGTGAACAAGCTCAAATATAACATGTAAGTTATAATTTATCTTATTTATAATTTTTACTACTATATAAGACAAGACAAGTAAGTAGTTTTTGAAAAATATTTTGTAGATACATATTTACTACCTTCAAATTTCACATAATGAATCTGAATGAAATAAACAAAATAGAAGGCACATCGTTTATGAATGGTGAACTGTTTAATGAATTCTACAACGATCTTGGGCACGATTGCGGGCGAGGCTACTATTTATACAAATTTTAACCGAAAAAATGTTTGTAGATACATATTTGTATATGTATGTATGTATTCTATGAATTATATTGTATATTATATGTTTATTTTATATATTGAGCTTGATATCTTAAATTTTATTAAAACTAAGAATTACATATTACAAGAATTATTTCATTTTTTGATTCAGTTTAATGTCATTCATTGAAGAGATTAGATAGGTATATGTATGATGACCGAGGAAATATATGTTTCAACATAAACATTATCGGTTTCAATTATAAATGTTATTGATATATTATTAGTAAACGAATTAATTAAAAGACATAGTGAAATATCCGGTGGTAATTCCAAGCGAGGGTTAATTATTGAAAAATCGGGGGCTGAAAAGATGAACCTTATCCTATCATTACTAACTGGTGCAAGTGGTTTACGATTCCTCAATATATATGTTCTAGTTCTTTAAATCAGAGTAAATATGAATATCTTCGAAATTTACTGCAGTCGTTGGATGATTGTGGGTATTATGAATTACTAATATCAATGATTTTGTAACACTAGCCGAAGTTAAGGACTAATCGCTTGTAATATTTGACGACGTAAGTTGTCGTTGTGGTCAAAACATTATAAAAGATTTTTTTTCGTATGGACGTCATACTAATATTGATTGTTTCTTTTTATTTCAAAGTTATAGTGCTATCCCTAAACAATTAATTCGCGACAACTCTCTTCAATCTTTTTGTTTTATTTAGAAAAGACCTAACAAATATGAAACATATTTTCACAGATCATTTGATTGGTTATTGATTTAGATTGCACTAAGAATTGTGGTAGATATCGAAAAGGATTTGATGAATATATAATACTTTAAAATGAGCTCATCTAAATTAGTATAAAACAGTCTTCTACCGGATAAAGCTGTATCAATGTAATGTCAGCACCATGCATAAAAATTTAACTCAACAAGTAATCAATGCTCGTGATGATCTATATCAAAAAATTATTACATTAAAGGGAGACATAGAAGAATCAAAGCTACGAGTTGAATTAGAATTTGTTCCATTTACGTGTCACTTAAAAACTATCTCTACAAAGTTTGGAGTATTGAAAACAGAACCGTTGACCTTTAAGTCAGAAAAAGCTGATGGCTTTTCCTGTGATGATGGTGATGCTTATTCACGAATTAAAAACTTACAATCAAAAATTGATAACAAACCAACTACTTATCGACCTAAAACACCTAAAGCAACAAAATAAAGATGAAACGAAAATTACTCACATCAACACCACAGAAAAAAGCTGATGATTCACCAATCAAGGATGACTCTCCATATCTAGAGGACTATGATGATGAAAAATATTCGAAAGACTTTCTGGTGAAGAAACTATTAGCGAAAAGAGCAATCGAAGCTAGAAATTGGGGGCTTTCCCAATTTTTCACGCGGCGTGACATTAGTCAATTCTGGACTCCCCTTGAACATTCAAGGCCAAGGTCATTCGGCGTGGCCTTAGCCGACTTAGGAACTTGCTCCTTGATCAGTCGAGATTAAGGTCACATTAGCCAATATCTACTACTACTGGTAAATCCTCGACCTTTTTTTCTACACTGACTTGTGTCCTGATTATTTTCAACTTAGTTAATTCATATAACATATTATGTTCATCGTATTCGTTGGTATTTTTGAAATCAGAATAATCTATCGTGGATGTTAAAAATCGGACAATGTTTTCATGTTGAATTCCGGAACTTGTCGATGTCCCCTCAGTATCAACGTGGTAGACTCGTACAGGTACATTTGCTTCATATGTTGTGTTAAAAGAAGGAACATATTGAACTCAAATAAAAAAAAATTAAAAAGCTGGAGTGGTTTCATTTTTAAATTATTGAGAGATATACTTATCGATTGAAACATAATTAGAAAAAAAATATATTGTTCATTTATCTTTATTTAAAGGAAATTTCCACTCTAAAGTGTCACTTCCGGCAGATAAGTTTTAACCTAAAAGGAGATACAGATCTATGTATAATCTGTGTAAAGAACCTTTCAACAGCTCTCTTTAAGAACCCCTTAAGAATGATTTCTTAAAGTGTTAAAATTATCTTCATTTTTTGCCTCTATTGAAGGCAATAAACAGGCTCTAATGACATGCGTTGCGTTAAAGGAAAGGGTAGGATAAAGAAAATAAGGACTAACTCATTTGCAAATAGAAAAACAGAAACAAAAAATACAATCATTTTGAACAAGGTCTAGGTGCTCGGAGAGGTGCATCGCTTACTATGACCACGTAGTGATTATGCAAAATTACTTGCATCTCCTGTGATTAATCTTATTTTTGTTGTTGGTTTATTGGTTGCTCGCCATATAATACGTTTGCAGTAACGGTGGATTATATTCTTCTGCGTTAAGAAATTGCTAATTGATTCTTCTTTAATATCTAGTTCGACATTACATATAATGGCTGAGTAGGGTTCAGTAAATTGAGATTTGGATCAAGGTGTGTAAGGATCACAGGTGACTTTCTGATTTTTAAAGAGTTTAAAAGTATTTTCAGTCGTGGTTTATGTAGATTGCATTTGATTAAAAAACCTTCTTTGTTGAAGGAGATGATGTCGTCGCTATTAGTTTTATATTCATTTTGTGTTTTTGATTATTGTATCGAAAATTCAGCACATGGGAGCATTTTGTTATAGGGAATCACTATGTAGCAAGATATAAATTTTAGGTTTAATTCCCTCATCTTATCACTGTGTGTGAATGTTTGTTAGTTGTTGGTTGTGCTTTCGAAAAGTATCTGTTAGTTTCAGTATGTATTTTGTTTAGTGCATTTGTTTAGTTTTTATTTCTGTTCTTTGAATCAAATAAAGAGGTTCCATAAATACGTCGTTATTGAGTAGCCTCAATGTTGTTGTACGGACTGGTTTCTTCCGGGAAGTTTTTTGATCAGGTCATTTGAATTTTCCTTTCTCCCTATGGGAAATGAAACTTTTAAGAAATAAGTTAAGGCGAGAACTCGAGTGACAACACGTCTATCCCCTCTTATTGTTTCTCAAAAACTGGTAGTACTCTCTATGTATATTAATTTTTTTTCGACCTCTATCAGATCAACAATTGTTCAATCCTAAATGTTAAGTATTTTTTTATCAAATTTTATTTATTTTATATTATTTTACTTCCGAAATTACAGGGTTGCCCCTAATTACAAATTTCAGAACTCAAGTCTACTAGTACATAATATAACCAATAAAAACAAACAAAACAACCAAGATCAAGCATAAATGTTAATTAACGCATCACAGAACGCGCGGAGGACATGTTGAACCAAAACTTTAAAAAATGAACAGAATTACATCACAAATTACAGAATTTAATGATAAAAATCAAGTTTGGCTACTGGGTGGCTGCAGCACTTATCAAAGATGTGAAATGTTGTTTAAACGATCTAATACCAATGCCAAACAGAGGCATGAAAGAAGAAGCCGACAGTGTGTTGTACAGTGAAAGGATTCTAATAAGAGGAGAATTTTGTCTTAGTTCAGTTGAAAACCGAGGAATATAGAAAAGGTTCTTTAGCCTACCACAATATGCAGGCGCATAGAAACCTATATTTTCTAATATTAATGGAGCATTTATATTATTATTCAACATTTTGTGTAGAAAACAGAGCGATATAATTTTTCTTCTGAGACAATCTGGTGATCTTAAATTAAATAATTTGCGTGCAAATTCGTACGATCTAAAACCAATGAAAACACGGATTTTTTTTATAGTAGAGATACCTAATGAATTTATTTTGAATAGTTTCTATTAAATTAGAATAAAGAATTGAACACTAAAGAATTGAACAGTAATTGCCAAATCCTAAGAGACGCAAAGCTGTGGTTGCTGTGGCTTTAATATGTTCAACAAAGCATAAACAAGGCGAAAACAACACACCCAAGTCTCTCTTTTTAACAACACACCTCAAATTCACATTATTTATTTTATATACAAATTCTATCGGCCTGTTCCTCAATGTATACGTCATTGACTCATATTTAGACACATTAAAATGGAGCTTGTGGAGCCGACACCAATTAAATACGTTATCTAAATCAGACTGTAAGGACCGGCAGTCAGTTAAGTCATATACAGTTGTGAATATCTTCAGATCGTCCGCCAAGAGTAAGCATCTGGTTCAGTTAATTACCAGGGGTAAATCATTTATAAATAACAAGAATAACAAAAGTCCAAGATTACTGCCCTGCAGAACCCCTGAATCAATCCAAAACATATTTGATACTGCGTTTTTATAAGAGACGTAATAAAATCTGTTGGACAAATATGAAACAAAAAACTAAAAGTAGAATAAGAAAACTCTTGTTGTGCCAGCTTGTGCAGAAGCGTATCACGATGCACCTTATCGAATGCTTTTGCAAAATCCGTGTAGATAACATCCACTTGAGCTCTAGCATCCAATACTTTGGAAACGTAATCCGTAAAGATAGTTAAGTTGGTCTCAACAGAGCGATCAGGAATAAATCCATGCTGATTAACATTCAACGAAAGTTTTACTTGATTGAAAATCCTGCGATAAATCAATTGTTCGAAAAATTTAGCAAAACAGGAGATTACCGGATATAGGTCTATAATTTCCTACATCACCAGAGGAGCCAGATTTGTGAATCGGAGTCACTCTTGCGATCTTCCAAGCATTTGGAAATGTATTCGTCACAAGTGATAAATTAAAAATTATGTATAATGGCATTACAAAGGCGTCTTTGGAGCCCTTCACAATGTAAGAGGGAATACCATCTGGCCCCTCTGTACGTTTAGACTTAAGCTTATTTATGGCATCACCAATTTCATTCATTGAAAAGCATACCAAGTTGAACAAATCGAATGAGTTATCGTTGATAATGTCATCATAGAACGAAAGAGAATAATTCGACGTTGAACCATACACGGACTTAAAATGATTTGCAAAAGCAGTTGTTATATAGCCGCTAGAAGCAAGAGGAACTCCGTCGGAACAAAACTGGCTCTGGTTG